CAATCAATAAATAAATAAATAAATAAATCCAAACAAAAATAAAAACAACAAAAAACAAAAAACAACAACTAACAAACCAGCTAAACAACAACAACAAAAGCTTTTTGCAACAACAAATCCCAAAGAACAACAGCAACGAAACAGACCAGCAAAAACAATAGGGAATTGTTGAGAAGTACAGATAATACATTATATCAGAGACACCCATCAACCACCCTCAGCTGTGCTTACAATAAACAGGATGTTGCGACTTGTACGAAAAGGGTCCTCAGCCAACCAAACGTTTCACGAGGAGGACAAACAACGTATACATACTAGGGGAATTTGATTTCCTTCCTGCTAGGGTCAGTTATTTTCCAAATCTGCATATCAGGAGGATTATATCACAGTCAAGCTTACCATATAAGGTATAAGACAGTGCAGGCGGAAGGAAAAAGGGCTGACTGTTGCGTGAGGGATTTCGGGGGAAATATAATCAGTCGTGACGGACTAAGGATTAAAATTAAAACCTCTGTATTCATGCCCCTGGGACTTTTCTCTAGTCGATAATGTGCGCACCGTGTATAGGAATATTGTTTGTTTGTATGTTTGTTTGTATTGTTTTGTTGCTGTTTTGTTTCTTCGGGCTACGATGTATGCACGACAGAGTTGTGCTCTATATTGGAGCTGGGAGTGAAAGGTCTACCCCTACAAGGGCAACAAAATGCCCGCAAAAAGGACTTAACCTCAACTTCGAATAAGTCTCTCTCTCTCTCTCTCTCTCTCTCTCTCTCTCTCTCTCTCTCTCTCTCTCTCTCTCTCTCTCTCTCTCTCTCTCTCTCTCTTTGTTGTTTTTTTCCTTTTTTTTCTTTCTTCATCTATCTCCCATACCTTTCACCATAAATTCTATTCCCATACACAAAATTCAGTCTACAAAAGACGAGTGACAGGTTTTTCTCTTCCTTGTCGGGTAGAAAGTTGTCACAGAATTCTGTCACTGTGAATCGTCAAAATAAAGGGCACATTTGAACCTTCCTATAGAAATGCCTCTGTTACGTCAGTAAATATGATAATGGAAGTAAATATTAGTATGCGCAGTCATTCAGATTATTATTCAGACCTACGTTCTACCGCTGACTGTATCTGTGGAGTGGGCGTGGCCAAGCTAACTGATTATTCTGGTCAAGTTGAGTTCAAGTGACGTGCACTCGTCTTATGCGACACAGCAAGGCCTTCTCCTTGCATTAAACTATAAAGGCTCTTTCTGTTGGCGAACCTAGACCATTAATACACATTATATTACACCTGTGCATGTATACGTCAGCTTATATACATAGGCTTAGTATAATTTGTGCTCGCTTGTTGTTTTTTCTATCTATCTCTCTATCTCTCTCTCTCTCTCTCTCTATCTATCTATCTATCTACCTATCTATCTATCTATCTATCTAGCTATCTATCTATCTATATATATATCTGTCTATCTAACTATCTATCTATCTATCAACCAGGTTTCGCGTCTGTCTGCAGTCTGACCGTAAACTAAAAGGTCCACACAACGTACATTTCTATCTGAACACTTACCTTGATGTTCCATGTTTTACCAAAGTACGTCAGGGCTTTGTGTGGAGCCAATCAATAACAGGTTTGGAGTAACATGGGTAGAGTGCTTCTACTTAGGGTTTGTGGCCAGGGCACTGGTCATGCAAGTTCTGATTATCGATCCAATGCACTTATGTAACAATACCAAGTGTACCCTGTCACCTTACACTTGAAATCTTTAAAATAGATATATAGTAAATGAATTACATTTTGTTAATCCCCGAAGGGGTAATTTTGTTTGCAATGACGAACATACATACATAAAAACACATTCAAACACACAAATAGACGTACAAAAAATTTCAAACACACAATAGTAAAGAACAAATTGAACTAAGATTCAAACCTGGCTTTGCAGCCTAGCGTGACACCAACTTAACTCAAGGTGTACCCATACTTCCGAGCATGTTATTTACTGTTCTATTGATATTTTCCTCTCGTCTTTTTAAATGCATTTCATATAATAATAATTATAACTTTAAAAATTTCTTCTAATGCTTATGTTTCACCTTCGTGTCAGTCGTTATTTGGTCGCTTTTAAGCACAAGGGAGCTATCCCGAAAAATGCTGTTTTGACTTGAGAAAATCGAAGGTAAAGTTTTTGCCCCTTGTTCAGTTTCTTTAAAAGACAAGGAGAGTTTTCTCTATAGCCAAACATATATACACACCAATGAAACCAAACTTCTCCTAAAGGTAGGGCAATGATTCATTTGGTGTAAGTCAAGATTTCTGGAAATCGCCAAAATCTGGGTTTGCCCGCTTGCCATTAAAAGCGACCATTTGTCTAAATTGTCTGTTTTGTTTCGGTAAAAGACGATTTTGTCGTTGTTTTACTTTTTCGTACAATTCAATTTATTTTATGTACGTCAATATACTTTAGACCCTACTTTCGTTTCTTCTTATTCGTAATGTGTCTTGTATTTGTAAAAGAACAGATGGAGGGGAGTGGGGTGAAGTTGTTTTTGTTGGAGTATTTTTTTCTGTTCGTTATTTATGGGAAAAGAGGGGGGGGGGCATTATACCACACAGAAAAAATGCTATTCTAAATGTCAATGACATTTCTTCTTCTGAAGACAACTCGAAACCACCCATGAGCGCCAAGTCTTGCCTCCTGTGTCTGTGATAAAAGCACCACATAATCCAGCTATGCAGACAACCAAGGCCGGTAGACTTTCTAAATAAGCGTGCCAAACGGGGCAAACAGGCACACCTTTTGAGGTAGCCTTTTTGGCAACAATAAAATAAAATGTGCGAAGGTGCAAGGGAGTGCACGCCCGGTGTGCAGTGAGAATAAATGCCAAAATAGGAAACGCTTTTGGCCGTAAACATGCTTACTTGGGCGAGGCGAGGAGATTGGTGGAGGAGGGTGGGGTTGTGGGGGGTCAGCGAGCCATTAAGATCATTACGGGATCTAGTTTCTGAAATGTGAGAGGGGTGTTCACCTTAAAAGAAGATAGCAATATGATCTCTCTCTCTCTCTCTCTCTCTCTCTCTCTCTCTCTCTCTCTCTCTCTCT